ACATTCTTACAATTTTTAAATGATGAGAAATAATATAGTACATCCAACACAATTATCACTCTTTGCCAACGTAACAATAACTGTCTACGTATTCTGAATTAACCAAATCTTCATCTGGTTCATCATAGATTTAGGCCAATTTGCCTCATCTGTCGTAACCAATCAGGTCCCTCCCACCATTTTCGTTCTATTAATTGTTCTGCATAACAACCTCTAGAAAGTAGGTCAGCAGAATTGAACCACAGACATGTCTACAGTGGGGGAAGTTAAAGACCTGATTTCCTGTACACAATTAAAAACGAATGCTCCCCAACGTTGATTTCGCCGTATCCAACTTAAAGCCGTCGAGGAGTCAGTCCAACAGTGAATACGGACTTCATGTAGGCCAATATCATTAATAACTGAAGACAATAACCTAGAACCAATATTACAAGCCAGAAGTTCTAATCGAGGAATCGTAATAGGTTTTAAAGGAGCTACTCTCGATCTTGCGTGTATCAAACTAACCTTCACCTTTTTGCCACTCTGTACTCTTAAAAAGACGCATGCACCATACGCACTTTTACTACTGTCACAAAATAGATGTATACTCACAGCTTCATTTATAGATCTGAGACCTATCCTAGGTATTTGGATACTGGATAGCGAGTACAACTTTTTATGCTAAAACCTAAACTTTTTAGTTAATTCATCGGGAAGAGCATCGTCCCATTTAAGCCTTAAATTCCAAGTTTCCTGTAAAATTAGTTTTGGAATCAACATTACAGGAGCCGTATGCCCTATAACGTCAAACACCTGATGAGCTACTGCTAAAACTAGCCTTTTAGTAACTGGGTCATCCAATTTTATATCTTGACTTATTTTGCAGGATAAGGTATCTGTAACTGTATGCCATACAAAGCCCAACAGACACTCTCCTTCCGTGGAGAAATCTTCCTCTGGCACAACACTTCTATATTGGATTTCCAGAATCTTAAATTAAAATGACCCGAAGCCATAATTTATTTGTGATTCATTACAACTTTCTCATTTCTATTTCTGAATTCATACTAGCCACACGTTGTCTACGTAAAAGGATGCTTTCAAAATCTCCGCTGTATGACTTAAGCTTTCGGGAAACTACACTCAAATGATATTGTATTGTAGCGGCCAATAATACGGACTACACGTAATACCAAAAACTACCCTTCTATACCGATACAGTCCTACTTCTTGATTATCCCTACTGAGCCCATAAATCTCAAAAAGTCTCGATCTTTTTCCCTTATAGATATTGAAGAACGCTTTTCTATCTGAAGTGACACCAACGTAATACTTTCGAAACCGATTAAAAATCGAAGGTATAATTTCAATTAAATTTGGTCCAGTAGATAAACATCGTCAATGATGGGTAACCAGGCGAATGAGAACTGCATTAAACACTGGTCTTATACTCGTGCTACCATTTTCTTAACAACCGCTCTATGAGGTAAATAATGTACACCCTTATATTATTCTTATCCGGTACTTTTTCAATTATCCCGAGTGCTAACCAGTTCTGGAAACGTCTCGAAGCGGTCAAAATTTCCCGCAGTCATTAATTTTCTTTAGTACTTACAAGACATTTTTCTGCTATCACTTTGTTTTCGGGTAAAAGCGAGCTATCCGACACCCAAGGTAATGCTACTTCGTACCTTCCCTCTGAATTTACGGTAAGAGTCTCTTCAAAATATTTTTTCGTATCCTCCTGTAACTGAGTTTTGGTTTTACTTACTGAAGGTTCACCCCCTAATACCCAAAACATCTAACTTCCAGAGATCACTAATACATTGACCCTTCACTAACAGAAAAGAAATTAGGAGGGATGCAGAGTATTTATCGTAGTTGGCTCAGTGCCAGTAAATTTACCCATAACAGTCCAGCCTAACTGCGTATGCACCGCGCTGACGCCGCACATAAGGGGAACAATTTTTCCAGTTAGCAACTTGCCAGCAAAATCCGCACAATTAGTAATTTTATCTCTTTATGGACCTTACATGTTACCATTTCTAAATCACTTAATAATTTGATACCATGTGAACATAAGTTCGCGTAATCACGAACCAGATGAGGAGTTGCATTTAATTTCAGAACAAATTTTGTTTTTATCAAGTACCTCTAATTTATACTTATATTTACTACATATATTGCTTACTTCAATAACCTAGTTTTTATATACACATTTTCTGAAGTCTCAACTCCACCAAAAAGAAATTGCTTAATTTTTGATTCACCAATACACTTACAATTTAACCTTCTGAGCAACATCATTACATAAATATGATTTCATTGAACCACTATCATAAATTGCTCGTACAAACATTTCTTTAGAACCATTCCGAATTTTTACAATTAAAGTTTGAAGATATACATCTGATACCTTAACATAGTTATTAAGAATGCCTGTTTTGTTTTCGTCATTCCCTAACTTTGTGGCACTTTTTGTTTTGTTAGAAGGCAAATCAGGGCACATGATCACAAAATGTTGATTTTTACATAAGGTACACCTATGTTTAGCTGTGCACTGATTTGCTCTATGGTTTTCTTAAGGCACACAAAACAAACATTCTTTTTCTTAATAATATCTTTCTTACATTCTAAACTCATTAAAGATGCATCTTTACAACTTTCAGACAAATGGGATTTTTCACAAAAAATACAAGTATCAGACTTTTTATTAAATTTTAGACTTTTTATTTTTTAAAAATTTTGAAAATTTTCATTACACTTACTACTATTACTACTATTTGCATTAATTAGTTCACATACAGTTGGAACAACAGGTTTTGTGTCAAGAAACTTATTTTTCTTATTACTTACTTTATCAGAACCCAAAACCTCACGGGTAATTTTAACTCTAAATTCAGTTTCTACTTCCCTTTTTAGAAAATCAATCAATGACTCCAAATCACTCTTACCTGTTGTTTCAGGAGACATACCTCGTTGTCTTTCCCAAATTTGTATTAAATCAGCAGGAAGTGCTCGTTCTTTGAGATACTCCACGGCTTTTTCGTAATTTTCTTCCGTAGCAGGAAAACTCTCCACTGTTGCTCTTGGCGCAGTCTCAGGTTTCGTAGATTGTAGTAGATAATGAAACTTGTCTCTCTTGTCGATGCGAGTATCTTCATGTATTTTATTAAACCTTGTCCAAAACGTCAACCACTTTCGGGAGTCTCCATCGAACTTCACCAGTTCGATCTCTGGCAATTTCTGTTTTGCGGCTGTAACTATTCCTGATGAAGAACCGCTATTCAATGAACCAGTAGAAGGCTGTGAACACATATCCTTTTTCCTGTTGGCTTTTACTTTCAACGTAGATAATTTATCGTAATATTCTTGAGCTGCACTAAATTCTCTTTCGTATTCTTCTTCAGTACAGCCTTTTTTCTGTAGAAGTTCCAAAAAAGAGTCATCAGTATGTCGTAAAGTTTTATACTTCTCTGAAATTTGATCTAAATAAATTTCTAAATCATCCAAATCCGGAGAATCTGATCGTATCAGTTCTTCTAACTTATTAGCTGTTTTCGTAAATACACTCCTAATTGCTTTCCGCTTCTGTTTTAGTGTTTCTAAATCATCCATGTTTGCACCTAGGAACTTCTCTTAGTTTCGTAAATTATCAAGTGTCGAAATCGATAATGTCACCCTGTGACATCAATCCTGGCTGGCTCGCCAAATTTGTTGCTTAACAAGTAAATCATAGGTTCGAAAATCCGAGCCGACACTTTTTAAAACACCAACATTTATTTTACACGCCATTTCTAATTCTACAAAATCTTAAATGCAACTAACTATCAAACAGAAAAGCAGACGTAGACGTAATGATGCGTCTGGGCACGTGATCCTCGTGACAGACGAATTCTTTAGGGTTGCCACAGAAAGGCAGTGTGTCGCCACACTACCCATCACTGGAAGCATGACTGAAAGTCGATAACGTTTGAAACGTTATGAATTATGAACTATGAAACATTTTGATTATTTAGTTTGAACATTTTTATTAGAGCTAAAATGCTAAACCTTTGAACGTTATTGTAATATATTTTATTATTTAGCCATTGTTTGCTTAACGTTTAATATGTGTGTGTGTGTGTGTGTGTGATTATGGCAAAGCCTCGAGGGCTATCTGCCTAACAACGTTTAATATGAATGATTGATTTGTATTGTATTGTTTATATGACAGCTGCTTATATGTTTATGATGATGTGAAAGACTTAGGATTTAAGTTTGAAAAGTTAATTTTTGGTTACATTTTTAAATGATTAAGATTATTGAATTTATATTAAAGTATATTAAAGTAACTTTAATTTAAAATAGAAAGCATTGGTTAATTAACTTCGAAAATTTCATGAATGTTAGTTATTTTTGTTTCAAGAAATGTTTATATGTGGATCTGACAGGCCATTGAAAGATGCAATTAAATCTTTTAGATGGAAGGTATGACGACTTGATGACTACGCATGCGCGGTTTTTTAGCCGAACGGCGTTCAACGCCTCTCTCTCACGGGACTTACAATGTGAAACGTGTATACGAGCCAGTTCCCTTAGAATGTCCTCCACGAAGGCATCCCTCCCCTTAGGCAGATAGCCCTAGAGTGCTTTGCCATAATTAAATAAACCAAACGAAACCAACCTCACGTGACTTACAAAAGAAGAGAAGCGACTGATAGTAACGAAAGCAACTCGCTCTTATGTTAGCTTAACCATGATAAATGTGGTGCTGTTTTGTGTGTGTGTGTGTGTGTTAACTATTTATTTTGTTCGTGTGATAATAAAGTGTTCGTGTCATTAAATGTATGTTGTATAAGATCCCCACATTACATTCACGTCCACGTTAAGTAGTAAATGTAATCCAGAACGCAAGCATGATGAATGTATGACACTACTGTAAAAATTAAAGAGGCTTCTTATATTGAGGTGTTATAGTTTTTATACACGTAAAACTGACACACCTCTTGACAAAACTTTGTTATATATTATTACAGGTACCTCTGTTGCAGACATTACATATATGCTGCCTTTTGGACCCTGACAAAGGTTTACTAGCGAATGGATTAGAAATATTAATGCCTCTGTTGAAAAGTTCACATCCGAGAGTGAGAGAAAAAGCTGCAACCGTGTTCAAGGATCTTACGTAATATCAAAATATTATATCTGATTATGCTCGAACAGATTTGTTTACGAAACCTTTCTTCAGTGAAAGATAAGCATTTAATTGAAATGGGTTGAAGGGACTTCTTAATTCAGACTAGCGAAGATTTTCAGAAACAACAAGCTTAAAATAAACTGTTTGCAGGATTATTGAAAAAGAATGAAGCGATTTCATTAGGCTTAACATATTTTTTATTTTAATTTTTTATTTTTTTTTTTTTTTTTTTTTTAGAATTACAAATATTGTCTATTCTTGAGAAGAATTCGTGTTCCCGAATATCATTATTTTCTTTTAGAGTGCATAGCAATTCTTTGGCAGAAGATGGTACAAATTTACCTGTTTTTCTTTCCTGAAGTTGACAAATTAATTCAGAATTTGTCAAATTTTCATTCCCCTTTCTCATCAGAACACCAAAATGACTGTTAGTGTTATAACCAATATAAGAAACAAACTTTTCTTCAAGTTTGTATTTTTTCACACACTTCAAAAGATACCGAGTCAAAATTTGAGCAGTTTCACCTGACATTTCATCGAAATTTGAACGTTTAACCTGAATTTCCTCCTCCAGACTGAAATATCTTACAACAATAGGAACAAATTTTACTTCACTTCTGTTTAAGTAGATGTTAATACCATCGTTACTGTTATATAATTAATGTTTATCAAAGAATGTAACACGTTATCAAATATAATTGGCGAAATAACGTTAACAGTAACTGTCCCAGTTTTGGTTCTAGTAGACGAAAATTTTGGGTCATATAACTTTTTAACCAGTTTAGACGTGCAGTCTGATGTTATAAGATATTTTCTTCGTCGTTCCAGCATGACTTCTTGATGTAACGGTAGCACACTATTCGAGAGGTCCAGGTCTGAGTCTCGGAGAGAGCGCTGCTTATTTTACACGTCTCCGGCATCAAAAAACATAATGATTCTACAGAGGCGCCCGAACTAAAAGGTGGCGGATAATAATTCACCACCACCAGGATTTGGTGATTTGGTCTCCTAATCCCTAATCGCCCTTTAAAAGAGGGAATATATAAGGTAGAGATTACGCTGAAAACTTGTTATAATGTGTTCCTTCTGGCATGTCTTCGGGGTGTAACGGTAGCTCCCTGGGCGAGAGATCTACGTTCGAGTTCCGGCAAGGGCATTGCTCCTTTTTCACATCTCCAGCATCAAAAAATCTATTGACTCTACGATGTTTTGAAACTGAGTTCGTTTCTGGAAGTGTAGTATGAATATCTAGCTTCTTTAGCAGCATACTCCAAGTCACTGTTATTATTGGTCACATCTTTGACTTTACAAAATCTTTTGTATTTACGAAAGGTAGCATTAATAGAATCCTATGTTTAACTGCTTTCACGTAGACTTACTATCACCCTTTCCTTTATGTGCAATAGAAAATTCCCCAGTACATAGTGTGCAAAAACCATGTTCATTGTTACTGTCATTACAAAATTTGTATACCTCTTGCAGGTTAACATTAAACACTGATTTCCTTTTGCCCATCGTTAAACTACGGAACGAAAACCAAATAGAGGTAAAATGATCAAAAACGCGTAGAAGAGTTACTTCACAGACGAAGACAATGTAAACACATAACCCATGTTGTATTGCCAAACGACTAAGAAAAAATTGTGGCGAGACCAGTAGCCACGCCTCCGTCAAAATCGACGTCAGCGCTTCCTTCAAGGTGGCTTAGAGATGCACGGCCGTAAGAGAATATTTTAAAACGCGATGTCAAACATATTGGCCTAAAATTTAAAAAAAAAAAAATCCGTCAGCCATAAAATTTTCAAACTTTGGTTAACACTAAAAAACGAGGACTGCCCGGGCTAATCTCAGATGTATGGTAAGCCTGCTTCATGGAGCTTTTATTTTATTAAGGATAAAAGACTTCATTCGAAAAAATAAGTATTCTACTGATAACGAAGTTTCATTTCTTATGGTAGAGGTTCTCAACTGGGGGTAAATTCTATCCTGGGGGCAATTTCGTAGCTTCAAGGGGAGATTTTTATTTAGCTTTTAAATACTTAGTTTTAACTTAATAGTGTTATAGATTGCTGTGGAAGGAATTAATTAAACTGAAAAACACGCAAATCTCATACAACAAACGCTAATCAATGAACTCAGCTCTCTTGAGAAAGTTAATTACACCCTAAAGTAAAATGACGCAAGAAAGATTGCCATTACAAATCTATTTGTTCTTTAGATTATTTAGCCAAATATCTACTCCATGTTACTCTCTTCTTGAATATTGTATGTGTTACTACAATCAAAGGTTTAAACAATGATAGGACCTCAGTGACGCGTATCGTAATATCTATTCATGGTTACACTCTTCTTTCACATTCTATATCGCCGATATCATAGGATCTCGAAGCTGCGTATCCAAATATCCACTCATTGTAACTCTCTTCTGTAATATTATACATCACTGCAATCATAGCATTAAACAATCATGGAACTTCGGAGATCGATGTCATGGCGTCCAAAAATGCTATAGAAACCAAATGGCGATTTTCCTTTCGTACATCCACCTATAATTGCGACCTCCTTCAGTCTGCTGTCGAGAGGGCAAAATTTCCACAAAAACTGTCTCTCACTCAGGCTTGGAAGTGGCGGCAAACTTGATGTTGTTTAGAAAGCAAGAAGCTAGATCGTAAAACGCCGGCGCTGGCATTCAGTTATATAACTCCATGTTACATTCCCACCCTCGGTAGGAGGAAAAAATTGACGTTGGGATAAATTGACGAACAACTGTGGCCGTTTCTAATGTTGATACATGCTCGGCCTGACTCTTGCCGCTGCAAAATCTAAAACATTACGCATATAAATGTTCACATAAATAACACAGATTACGCATTTTCTTCAGTACATATAAATATTTTTGCATAGATATGTACAATAGGAATAAATTGGAAAATGAAAGATATGAGTCACACAACTTTCTTCTATTTTCACTGCATACTAAGTAATTCTTAGCATATTTCTGCGTTACAAAAAAGTACATATTTGCATCTTACATCGCCTAAATTTCCATGCTTTCTTATTACACGTTCTGTAAATTAAGGTATCTCTCCATTCATTAATACAATTATATATACATTTTTTACACCTTCATTTCCTCCTTTTTACACTTTTCATATTTATACATTACAACCACTTCTCATTTTCCATAACATTTAAGGAATTTTTACATTTTGATATTTAATTTTACATTCAAAATCCGCAGAATATGTTTAGCAGTCTAAGTGGGATCTACATATAATCTGAGTTATTTCCCTTTACTTGGTCACATTATAATTTCATAGGGAGATTTAAAATATTTGTTTTTCTAATAAATCTTTTACTTATTACAATTCATTAGATTATGTCTATAGACCATCCAACTCTACCGAAGCTGTGCAATGAGCGCTTTATTACATTTAAATTAAGCCGCTATTATTTACAGTCATTATTAAATTGTCTAGTTTCTAACCATGATGCACATAGCAAAATCTTGTTCAAACCCGAATGAATTTTCCGAATCTGAAATTTTTTATTTTCCTAATCCTCATCCTCTGCAGCCTCAGTTCGCGAAACTTTTCGTAGAAACAACTTGCTTATGTGGATTTTATGTGGCTTATGTGGATTTATTTTGTAACCCAATTTTACTATGTAAATATATCATTCAGTACCTTCTTAATAATTTCATATGGCCCCATAGATTTCGGGTTTAACACTCTACCGTCATTAAAATTTTGCATAGAAACTTTATCCCCTAATTTTAATTCCGCGATTTATTTCCCTTTCAAATATTTTTTGTACAGTTAAAGTATTCATCCTCATTAAACTTTACTTATTTCTCCCTTATTGCTATTTAATTTAATATTCTGGCATACTGATCAAAATCCTCTACTAGTTAAGGCGATATCTATGGCAGCATTTAAGGTTATACCAAAAAAAAAAAAAAAAAAAATAAAGCATTTACTGGCGAAAAATTGAGTTACGTAATGTTTTACATTGTTATAATGTAATTTAAATATTAACCTTTTGTGGTGCTCGAATATATTTCTTTTGAAATTGCTGCACTAGACTCCTTCCCCCTGTAAACTCTTTCAGTCAACCCATTCGCTGATGAATAATCAATAGAACTCTTTCTGTGTTCTATATTTAGTGATTTTAAAAATTATTTTAATTCTGTAGAACAAAAATAGGAACAGTGTCTGATTACATAATATTGGGGATGCCACATCCTGCAAAATAGACATTTATTATTTTATAATGGACTGAGAAGGGCTGTTGTTTAATAGAATTGTTTCTAATTACCTGGAGCAGTAATCAATGACAGTGACATAAAACTTGTTATCTGTGGATCCTGGAAATTTCCCTACTATATCACAAGCCATTTTCCCCCTCTCCCGGTGGAGGTCTCTCTGAAGAATCAAACGTGGCCTAGTGTTTTGTGGTTTTGATTTACTTCAAGCAATTTCTATAATTTCCTACAAATTTTTGGTTCGCTGTACATATTTTTCCAGTAATATATTACTTTCACGAACTCGTACGTGTTTTAAGCACCGAAATGAAGCGCATGAACAGTTTGCAGTACATCTTTAATTCAAGTCTTAGGTATTAAAGTCTTATTTTGTACACTTCCGTGTTTCGTTCTGAGGCTGTGAATTTTAATGTTATCATTAATGCATCTGTATGACTATCAATAAAGTATTGCTCTACCATATCTATGTGGTTAGTTTCTGCAATGTTTTATTATTCTGCAATTTTTTTATAATTGTTCTTATATATGGATTCTCTTGCTGTTTGCTAATTATGTTTCAATAGACAGATTGTCATTGATACTAAAAATATTAGTACTGTTTGCCTCAACTTCATCTGAAACTTTTGATAAGTAATCAATCGGGTTCTTGAAACCAGGAATATGCTCCATAGTGTACTGAAATTGCTGCAGATATGATAACAGCGTGCTACAATGTCTGGCTGCT